CCTCTCTCCCTTCTTTCTTTCCCTGTTTCCCTCATTCCTTTCTTTCTCTCCCTGTTTCCCTCTCTCCCTTCTTTCTTTCCCTGTTTCCCTCATTCCTTTCTTTCTCTCCCTGTTTCCCTCTCTCCCTTCTTTCTTTCCCTGTTTCCCTCATTCCTTTCTTTCTCTCCCTCTGTTTCCCTCTCTCCCTTCTTTATCTCCCTCTGTTTCCCTCCCTCACTCACTCTCTTTGTTGCTCTCCCCCACTCCCTATCTTCCTCCCTCCCTCCATTTCTCTCTCTCTCATTCCCTCTTTGTCTCCCTCTCTCACTCCCTCCATCCTTCTCCCTGCTTCCCCTCTCTCACTCCCTCTCACTGTCTCCCTCTCTCGCTCCCTCTCGTTACCTCCCTCCTTCCCTTTCCTCACTCCCTCTCTGTCTCCCCCTTCCCTTCTTTTGCTCCATCTCTGTCTCCCTCCTTCCCTTCTCTCTGTCCCTCTCTCTGTCTCCCTCTCTCTGCCTCCCTCCTTCCCTTCTCTCTGTCCCTCTCTCTGTCTCCCTCCTTCCCTTCTCTCACTCCCTCTGTCTGTCTCCCTCCTTCCCTTCTCTCGCTCCCTCTCCCCTTCCCGCCCTTCCTCCCTGTCTCCTCAGGACAATCACTACCGGCCCGTGGGCAGCGCCTCCTGCCTGCGCTGTGATTGCTATGCGGTGGGCTCCCTTTCCCGTGCCTGTGATCCTCTGTCGGGACAGTGCCCCTGCAAGCCAGGCGTGATGGGGCGCCGCTGCGACCGCTGCGACAACCCCTTCGCTGAAGTGTCGGCCACCGGCTGTGAGGGTATGCCTACTGGCAGGGCGCTGCCCCCTGCTGGCTCAAATAATTCATTTTAAAATTTCATTTTAAGTTTTTTAAGCTAGTCACCCATATCCCGCCGTCTTTAGTTTACATCTCCTTTACGTGACCCCTAGGAAGCCTCATCGCACCCGGTCCTGCTATCTAAGCTGATGGCTTTGCTCCAAGTCCGGCACGTTCCGGCAGCTCCGGCCGCAAACCCCTCCGCTCTTATGAGGGCTTGTTGTGGATTCTGATCAGGGTTTGGGCTTCTGCTAAAATCATGCAAATTATCATAAAGGTCACGGTTTTATAAAAGTGGTCACGCTTCTGAGACTTGGCTTAGGGTTTTGGTGTGGATCCAGCTGGATGAGAGCGCGTCGGTGGGGCTCTTATCATCCGGCGTCCATAATAATCTCCCGCTCCACTCTTTCTGGCAGTCATCTACGACAGCTGTCCCCAGACCATGGAGGCCGACGTCTGGTGGCCCAGGACGAGGTTCGGCCTGCCGGCCGCTGTCTCCTGCCCTAAGGGCTCCATCGGTACTGTCTCCCCTGTTGTCTGTGTCTCTTTTCCTTCAGCGTTTAGAAGCAGGTCGGTCAGCAGAGAAGCTGATTAGACATCACTGTAGTGGGGTGTAAGCTTCGTGTTTCTGCCTGTCAGCGATGTGGCTTCTCTTGCCCTTGGTTTGGTCTAGGGGGTGACCTATTGCCCCTTCGTCACCCATGTAAACAAACTTGGGTCTTGATGGGCCGGTTCATGGCTCTGGGGGTGTGTGCTCGTTATCAGATGGTCATGGGTTCAAATTCCATGGTCAGCAGAGTGGTGCCACCATTGGGCCCTCGAGCAAGGTCTTTCACCCCAGTTGCTTCAGGGACCCTACTCAATCAGTTTGGATAAAAAAATACATCATTTTGGATAAAATGGATCTAGTGTGGGTCTAGTGTGGTGATGCTCTGCCCCCCCCCCCCCAGGCACGGCCATACGGCACTGTGACGAACATCAGGGCTGGCTGCCCCCGGATCTGTTCAACTGCACCTCCCTCACCTTCTCCAGCCTCAAGGCCGCGGTACGTGTCGCACACTAACTGGACTCAGTTATCGACACACACAGCTGAGTACTGGCTGAGCACAGCATGCGCTAACTAATCTTCGCTAGGTAGTTAGCTTAATGTGACAAAATTATCACTTTTAGAAATTCAGAATCAGAAAGTTGGCGGTGAAAGAGCAAGGATCAGAGACCCCAAAGGATTTCTCTCCTGTTCCCCCCAGTCAGATGAGCTGTCCCGCGACCCCTCCCTCCTGGACACGGCCCGGGCGCGTCAGATGGCAGCAGCGCTGTGGAACGCCAGCGAGAACACGGCGCAGTATTACGGCGGAGACGTGCAACTGGCCTACAGCCTGACGCTTAACCTGCTGCGGCGTGAGAGGGGTCAGCGTGGCTTCAGACTGGCCGCAACGCAGGACGTCAGCTTCACTGAGGTGGGGTCTGGATGCAGGGTGAGGGGAGAGGATTGCAAGAAACATGAAACCCTTATGCGGCAGGTGTGTGGGGCGAGGGACATGTGGATCGTGAAGCACTAGTGTAGCACGTGTGCGGGGAGAGGAACATAAAGACCTAATGCTGTGCAAGTGTGGGGAGAGGAATATAAAGAAGTAATGCGGTGCAAGTGTGGGGAGAGGAACATAAAGACGTAACGAGGTGCAAGTGCGGGGAGAGGAACATAAAGACGTAACGAGGTGCAAGTGCGGGGAGAGGAACGTAAAGACGTAACGCGGTGCAAGTTCGGGGAGAGGAACGTAAAGACGTAACACGGTGCAAGTGCGGGGAGAGGAACGTAAAGACGTAACACGGTGCAAGTGCGGGGAGAGGAACGTAAAGACGTAACGCGGTGCAGGTTCGGGGAGAGGAACGTAAAGACGTAACACGGTGCAAGTGTGGGGAGAGGAACGTAAAGACGTAACGCGGTGCAGGTTTGGGGAGAGGAACAAAAGGAAGGTGATGCCCTAAGGCGGCACCCCCATCTGGTCTGTCCTCCACAGAACCTGGTGAGTGTGGGCAGCTCCATCCTGGCCCCTGTCACATGGCCTCACTGGGAGATGATCCAGCGCACAGAAGGGGCCACGGCATCACTGCTGCGCGCCTACGAGGAGTACGCAAACACTCTGGCGCAGAACATGAGGAGGACCTACCTCAGGCCCTTCACTGTGGTCACGCCCAACATCGGTGAGACATGAAGCCTTTGTGTGCTGCTGCTGCTGCCGCTCTTGTTGTATTTCCTGTTCTCTGTCGTGTTCTTTCTCTTTTTTTGTCTCTTCGTTGTCAGTGGTGTAGATCAGTGCGTCATTCCTTTACAGTGTGGCATGGATCAGTGTGTCGTTGCTTTAGCATGTGCCATGGATTATGCCGCCTTCAGTGAGCCATATCACTCTGAGTGTGCGGCTGCGTTCCCTGTGTGCGGCTGCGCTCCCTGTGTGCGGCTGCGCTCCCTGTGTGCGGCTGCGCTTCCTGTGTGTGGCTGCGTTCCCTGTGTGCAGCTGCGTTCCCTGTGTGCGGCTGCGCTTCCTGTGTGCGGCTGCACCCTGTGGGCCAGTGTGCGGCTGTGTTCCCTGTGTGCGGCCGTGTTCCCAGTGTGCGGCTGTACTCCCCAGGCCAGTGTGCGGCTCTGCTTGCTATAGCTCTCAGAGGCTGTGCCCTGGTGTCCTGCTCTCATTCCCTCTCTGCCTCCACCCCAGTCCTCTCGGTGGATCGTCTGGACAAAGACGACTTCTCCGGTGCGCGTCTCCCTCGCTATGGGGCCCTCGGGGGGATGCAGCCCACAGACCCTGACACCTCAGTCACGCTGCCGGACATGGTGTTCATCAAGGACCCCGCGGCTGCCAGAGACAGACCCCTGGATGGCGCGGCGGGCCGCGGGCGCAGGCATCCCGGCGGGGGAGCACGGGAGGCGGTGGCGAGCGTCATCATCTTCCACAGCCTGGCCTCCCTGCTGCCTGCACGCTATGACCCAGACAAGAGAAGCCTGAGGTTCGCCTCCTGCTGGTGAAACACTGCTCCTGCAATACTAATGAGGCTTTGACATTGCAGTTATGTGTAAAGCGTAAAATGGGTGAAAATTTACCAGCTTCTTGGGGTGAGCCCCCCTATGTGCGTGGTGGAAATTTACCGATGCAGAAATCAAATGAATCACTGTTACTGTGGTTGCATGTTTGATTTCTGCTCCAGCTCTTTGTGTGTGTGTGTGATAGACTTCCATCCCATCCAGGCTGTCCCCCTGCCCCGTATTATAATAAACAATCATTATAATGTTTAAGCTTGCAGTGGAATTTGGGTGGAGGTCTGAGTTCATGTGCTCCACAGGGTTCCAAAGCGGCCTGTCATCAACACCCCCGTGGTCAGCATCATGGTGCACGATGATGACGAGCCATTTCACAGGCCCGTCATCGTGCATTTCCGGCTGAGCCGCACCGAGGAGCGCGCCAAACCGGTCTGCGTCTTTTGGAACCACTCCCTCCTGTGAGCATCCAAGACAGCCTCTAAGTAGTGTCCAACCATGCACACACCCTGGGTTTTATGCAACCCTGACCAGCTAGTTATCTCATTCACATTAGAGTGGTGTATTCAATGAATTTATCGAATTTAAGTGAGCATCAAAACTGTGCTTTTAACACACCAATGGTAACGTGAGCGAGCATAGCTGTGCGAGTTAGGGACCATTGTGTTCGTCTTTAGCACACATTAGAAAAAGATTATTGATGTTTGGTGGTAAATTTGGCAGAGATAATTTTTTAGTCTTATTAGCATGGTAGATGTCTTTAATCTGGGACAAGCAGTAAGGTGGGGGCCTGGTCCAAATATATATGAAAATCCTTAGGAGCTCAGAGGACTAGTTTAACAGAGTTAGTTATGCAGGACTGCAAGGTCTCAGGCAGGATTCAAATCCATTTGGAGGTCAGTCAGCTGGTTTCAGAGGCAGCTTGTTATGACTACTCTGGACACGGAAACACAGCTTTCGAATTCCAGCCCTCACTGGGTTAAATTCCCCACCGCCATTGTTATCAGTAACAGTCGAGACAGCGGCATGTAATATCGCTTCTTATCTTCCTAAATTAAAAACCACAGCAAGCTGCGAGAAACTGGCATCAGCGCAGTCTGGCGTCAATGAGCGGACACACCTGAGAAGAGTTAGCTGTTTAATTAATGATAAGTATTAATTACATTTCGAAGTGAAGCTAGCAGGCCAGTTCTTCCTGTCCGTTATCAGGGCTGCTGGAGATGCGGGCGGCTGGTCTGCGAAGGGCTGTGAGCTGGTCTTCCGCAATTACACGCACATCAGCTGCCGGTGCAGTCACATGACCAGCTTCGCCGTGCTCATGGACGTCTCTCAGCGGGAGGTCAGCCTGCAGTCGTCCTATCGTCTGTCTGTACTCAAACTCCACCTCCTAATTGTGCTTAGGGTCTTATGGTGTTTTGATTTATCACTCTCTCTAATCCATTAATCAAACGATTAATACGTAACCCGCCTCCCCCTGATTGCCCGGCCCCATACTGCCAGAACGGCGAGATCCTGCCGGCCAAGTTCGTGACCTGGGGCAGCGTTGGGGTGACTCTGACCTTCCTCCTGCTCACCATCCTCCTCCTCGGCTGCTTCCGCACGGTGCGCAGCAACCGGAGCAACATCGCCTGCAACGGCACTGCCGCGCTCCTGCTCTCCGAGCTCCTCTTCGTCCTCGGCATAAACCAGGCTGACAGCCCGGTGCGGAACCCCCGCAGTGTCTGCTGCACCATCTTACATTCTGTTCATGATTTTTAGCACTTGAACTGCCTTACAAGTCATATTTTGTACCTTGGCTGACATTTGTGAGTTTGTGTTAAATTCAAGAGGACTGTATGTCAGAGAGCCGGCCATGAACCCCAAAAAGTCTTTATTATATTTGGCTGTGTCACGGCCTCACAGGAAAGCCCCACTTCCTGCTTCTGACTTCCTGTCGCTCCCCCTGTGATGCAGGTCCTGTGCACGGGGATCGCCATCCTCCTGCACTTCCTGTACACGTGCACCTTTGCCTGGCTCTTCCTGGAGAGCCTGCACACGTACCGCATGCTGAGCGAGGCGCGCGATGTGAACCACGGCCCCATGCGCTTCTACTACGTGATCGGATGGGGTATCCCCGCTTTCGTCACAGGTGAGCCCCCTGTTGGTGACTTGGAGCCAGTACAGCCTGTGACATTTTCTACCTTCTGCCCTGTCCATGCAATAGAAAATATTAAGAACAAGCACTAGGTTAGCTAGGGCTCTTTCCTGTAGGTTTGCTACAGTTGGTGTGTGTTGTTGTGACCTCCCCCCCCCGGGCCCCTACCCTACGGCTCTTCCTTTCAGGGCTGTCGGTGGGCCTGGACCCAGAGGGGCACGGAAACCCGGATTTCTGCTGGCTCTCTGTCTATGACACGCTAATCTGGAGCTTCGCTGGACCCGTGATCCTAGCTGTGTCCGTGAGTACCCCCCCCCCC